TTAGAGCTGAGTGGACTCAGAGGCGCCCTAAAATCCCGAAATTCAAAATCATAGTCTTCACCAGGATTCCAACCCGGAACCCCCGGTTCGGAGCCGAGTGCCTAACCACTCAGCAATCGCGCCTCCAAAAACAGAACATACAAAACTAATAAAGGTATCTTTTCGTGGGCACCTTAAAAGAAAAAGAATGCACTCTATTTAAATAATTTTATCAATCTGTAAATAATCATCTCAATTTTATCAATATACATATATTAATTCTTTTGATTACACCCGTGTTTCCCAAATTGTGTTCCGCGGAACCCTTGTGTTCCGAGAGGCCTGACTAGGTGTTCCACGAACTACTGAAATAATTAACTAGTAGGCCCCCACGTGAATTAATCTCTCTTAATAAGCAAATCGTTCCGCTAAATACTCGGAATGAACGAAGTATTCCGTTAAGGAAAAAGGGGAAACACTGGATTAAACAATACCTCAGTCACCGTGCAATCAGCATATAGATCTCGTAATAATGCAAGATTTATATCATCATCATCATCATTCCTTTGGGTTCCTCATGGAACATAGGGCCTCTGCAAAAACACGCCACTCTCCACGGTCTTTTGCTAGTTTTTTGATGGCTTTCCAGCTCTTTCCGGTCCTCTCCTCGGCTTCCTATAGTATACTGCGTCGCCATGTTCTTTTTGTTCTTCCTCTACGTCTTGTTCCCTGGGGGTTCCACTCTAAGGCCTGCCTAGCTCTGTTGTTGGTATCTTTCCTCAGGGTGTGCCCAATGCCTCTCCACTTATATAGAAGATTTATATTATGACTTGGGTCTTTTCGAACGATTTGTGAGAATCGTAAAGAAACACAAGAAAAAAGGCTTCATATAAACTTTACACCTTGCATGAGATCACAACATTTCGCTACAGTCTACCTCCTCGCTCCAGTTACAACACACCTGCCCCCCCCCCCCCCCCCCATGTACAATAGGCACAAATATTTACCGCAATATCAAAACAGGTAGGTAATAAAATCGCGTAGGCAGTTCACTCGATCAACTTATGCTTTCTTCGGCGGCAGCGAAGTCGACGGGCCCAAATAACAGATGCTTTTATCGGCACAGAAGCGGCAAGTTGAAGTTACGTCGTGGGAGGAAGTGGGGAGTGTGGGGCGGGGGGGAGATTACAGGTGAAAGGTCATTTTGTACCACAACATGGCTTTATTGTGAAGATTGCTGAGGCTAATTAATAAGTAGACCAATAGGATAATAGAAGCTCCAACAACTGGGTGCGACTAAATTCATCCTTACCATCATGGTCTTTCACCTGAACAATACTAATGAAACATGCCAAAGTTTTTGACTCGAGGCAACGATGTCCACAGGGCAAAATTGCCTTTGGTAGCATTTCCTTCTCATCTAGGCTCTAGCTTCTCGACCACTCTCATGTTTTATTGCTCATAAAACTGGCAAAACTTAATCTACATCTGCATCTTTATCTATATCGCCCCGCACTTGCTACGCCAATGCGCATAGACCTTAACAAAACAGAAACTAGGGAATAAGAATGAAAAAAAAAATTCATGCAAAAAAAAAAATATACCAAACTTATATTAGTGAAAGAACTGCATATTTACAGTTATGTATCTCAATATTTTAAGATTTATATCCCGTTACCGTATAAATAAAATTAACTTATTACCTCTAATTAATTAGTAATTTTTTTAAACCGATTAAAGTTTTTTTATGGACAACGAATACTTGTGCAAAGTTGTAATAAGCTTTGTTTAGACAGACTAGAATGTTGCATAAATGACTCTCAGAAGGTCAAGGTTCACTGATAAATTGACAGTCACGAAACGCAATAACTAAAAAAATTTTACAAAAACAACGTTAGACTAAATTGAAAAGAAATGTTAAAAAACATTTTTGACAGCGTTTCTAAAAGTGTTTTCAAGCGTGACGCTCCTTAGAAAACGGCCAGTTGGTTGACTTTTGACATTAACAGTTGTAACAAAAAAAAAATGGCATAAATAGGGCTCTTTGTCCGTCTCAAACAACTTCACACTGCGTCTGAAATAGAGCTTGAAGCCTTCCATCAAAGCAATAAGTTCGACACTACATGATTAACAACGATGGTTTTGGGGGGTAGTAAATTAGAAATATGTTACATAACAATGGCAATAACACAATTACTTTGAGTTGCAATAATAACAGAGTGGTCCTCTAACAATATTGACAACAACGTCAACAATCAGCTAACGAAATATTAATTAACAAGTGATTAGCGTGGTAGAGAGGCTAAGTACGCTTGAACTTGGCTTGGCTTTTGCTACCTATTAAGGGGGCTCGAGGTTCGACACACAACTCGAGCAGAGGTGTGTTTACTGAGCGCCTAAGGGCAGCACGGGAAACCTACTCTCACATACCTCCTTCCCCCACTGGTCCACAAATGTGATTGGGCCATAGCGCTCTGAGCATGCTATACGCATGAAAGTAGCGCTATATAGAAGCCATAATTTATTTATTTATTTTCAACTTTATTTAGAAGAAATGTTTAGCGGATAGACAAAGCTCACTGATCAATCTAACATGCTCAAATTTTAACCCATTGACTGTTCATCGAGTATGGTCCGCATAATAAATAAAAGAACAGAAAGTTTCGGAGGGAAAGAAGAGTTAACATCAGTGGCGTAGAAACCATGGCTCGACGGGGGTTCATTCGCATGGGCCCAAGACGAACTCGTGTGCCAAATTGGCTCGTAAGGGAAAAAATGTTTTGACTTTAAGAAACAAAAAGTTTAAAATTCTTACATTCTTTTACTTAAACCAAACCATTGTATATTTATTTCTTTTTAAATTATATTTCTGATATATCTCTTAAAGAGAAAATACCAAATCGATGTAGATCTTAGTATTGCAGTAGGAAATCTATTCAAGGAAAGTAACTCTAAAATTGTCAGAACAGCGATTCATTAAATTCTAAGGTATTAAAAACTAAAGAGTAGATAAAGAGTAGACCAAACCTTCAACACTAAACTGTCTGGCAGTAACCTCATCACTGCAATCAATAGCTAGGCCGTCATCATCATATAGTCGGTCCAAACACACCGTAAGTCTCACGAGAAAGTTATGAACCAAATTTCAATGTTTACACCCCGTCCTCTATCTTAAGGAAGTACCTGCCCAGGAAGGATGGAGGTCGTGGATTGCAGAACATCTGTGTAAGATGCAAGTTTTAAAAATACGATAAAAACTGCACGCCTCCAGCAATGAACTAGTTTCCTCCCTATGCAAATACGACTATGGTGCAGCCCCTCTGAACCTAAACAATGTTTATGTTAATGTCGGTTTGGACGTCGTGGGGCATGAGATTCGCCGATGGGAAGAAAAAACACTCCAAGGAAAATTCATGGCTTAATTAGATAGGGACATCATTGACAAGGCTGCTTCCTTACCATGGCTCAAAGCAGGTCACCTCCACCCTGAAACAGAAGGCTTTGTTACAGCAATACAGGACAGAGTAATTAAGATAAAAAAATACGAGAAACATATCCTAAAACTCAATGTTGTCGACTAAAGCCGAAAATGTGGAAATGTAGGTGAGTCAATTGAACACATAATGGAAGGATGTTCAGCCCTATCAGAATCTGCCCACCTAGGTCGAAATAACCAAGTTGCAAAGTTAATGCACCAACACTTGGCTTTGACACATAATTTGACCAGTACAGACATCCTTTCCTATTACAGACTGACCTTCTTTTCGTGTATTGGTCACTTGTAAGTAAATGTAGTAGACTTGTATGATTATTTTCTCAGGATCCTTTTCACATTATCTATCTTGTGTATTATTGTACAAGTGAGATATGCTAATTTGTTTACTATTTTGATCATAATATTGACTTTTTACACATTACAGCGGAATGTAAACAAACTGTTGTAAACAACAGTAACATTTTTTCAACTGTTGACCTACTTTTTATTAATAGTAAATCATTGTAAACATTACTATTTTATTTCCTAATACTATAATTGAAATTTAATTTTGCAAAGCATATGTACAAACATGTAAAGCTTATTTTTCTAGGATACTTGTAAAGATGATTTTTCTATCCAATCTTAAATTAATGTATTATAAACGAATACTATGTATGTAGTCATATGTAATGTCAACTTAGATTTTTCCCTCATTTTTTGACATGGCAGTTTACTTATTTGAGAAAGTACATGTTAAATCAAACACACTTATAATGACCCAAAATTTTTTTGGATACTGGTGTAAATATATACCTTGTATTTTTTTAGAAAGGAAACTTCATATATTTTTCTGTAACTATTGTTACTTATCTTGAAGAGTACTGAACATTATTTAATACATAAAAATGATGTGACTTAAATGTAACTTGACATAAGTATCTTATAATATCATGATTTGAAACATTGAAATCTTAATTTATTATATGGATATATGTTGTAACAAGATGTCTTATATAATGCTTCAAAAAAGAAGATGATTACGTCCTACGCGTCATGCATTTAGTCATGTCATTGGGATATGTTGTCTTATCAAAAAGATTTTTTGCAAAATATTTTTTTTTCTGGAGCAAGGGGCGTATGTCACATCATGGTTTGTGATATGAAATAGTAGGATCACGAAGTGTAGCTTTTTGTTGTGTTTCACTTGAAAGTGAAACCTAATCGAGACTTCTAGGAGTTTATTATTATTGAATTATTATTGGAGAATTTCTTGCATTCATTGATGGCTGGATTTGCCAGTATGTTCATATTTTATGTCAAATAAATGACATCTGCTAATTCAGGCATCCATTTCTGAGTCTCTATGTTTTGTTGTGCTATTATAACTGAAGAACTCATGTAGTAACCATACGCGACAACAAGTAATACAACAGTACTCAAGTGAGTGAAAATATTTTAACTACTGTACAGCTGAGACTCTTTTATGCACAATCAATGTCACGTAATTAGCAGCGACAACATCCACTCATATTTAAAGAAACACATTTAGAACCAACTCTACGTTTTTTATTCGACATTTAAACCCAAACAAATTTTTAAAATACAATTTAATATTTACTCCTCAGCCTCTTAAACTTTGCGATCTATGGATCATCCGTGTCTCTGTTTCTGTGTCCCGCCATTTACGATTGTGTTATGTGACCAACAAACGACCAACTGCCTTTACTTTTCCATAACTAATGTTAGATACCCTTTAAGGTTGGGTGGACTCAAGCCGTAACTCAAAACTTAGTTGAGGCTTCTCATGAAATTCTACACATGAGACAACTTTGAGTAAAAATAAAATTGCAATATTACTCCAATGGTTCACCTGGATTTGAAAACCTGAAGTCCTACCTTGTGAATGAAATTTGTAATTTTTAATAAATTTCAAAATATGAAACCAGCTGGAATCTGGATCAAATGTTTGATCCGTAGTAGGCCCATCAGCCCATCACTGAGTTCTAACTGGTCACATAGTGAAAACTCTGTTGTTTTAAAATTATCATTGAACACACTTTCAGTGGCAAATCTCACACTCAATCAATTTTTTTTTCCTTTTTATTCAATAAATAGTGAAATAAAAAATGAACTTTCCTAGACGTTTTTAGCACCGTCTTATGTCGTGTTAGGTACTTCCGCTCTGTGTCTTATGTCGTGTTAGGTACTTCCGCTCTGTGTCTTATGTCGTGTTAGGTACTTCCGCTCTGTGTCTTGTGTCGTGTTAGGTACTTCCGCTCTGTGTCTTGTGTCGTGTTAGGTACTTCCGCTCTGTGTCTTATGTCGTGTTAGGTACTTCCGCTCTGTGTCTTGTGTCGTGTTAGGTACTTCCGCTCTGTGTCTTATGTCGTGTTAGGTACTTCCGCTCTGTGTCTTGTGTCGTGTTAGGTACTTCCGCTCTGTGCCTTATGTCGTGTTAGGTACTTCCGCTCTGTGCCTTATGTCGTGTTAGGTGCTACCGCTCTGTGCCTTATGTCGTGTTAGGTACTTCCGCTCTGTGTCTTATGTCGTGTAAGGTACTTCCGCTCTGTGTCTTATGTCGTGTTAGGTGCTTCCGCTCTGTGTCTTATGTCGTGCTAGGTACTTCCGCTCTGTGTCTTATGTCGTGTTAGGTACTTTCGCTCTGTGTCTTGTGTCGTGTTAGGTACTTCCGCTCTGTGTCTTATGTCGTGTTAGGTACTTCCGCTCTGTGTCTTGTGTCGTGTTAGGTACTTCCGCTCTGTGTCTTATGTCGTGTTAGGTACTTCCGCTCTGTGTCTTGTGTCGTGTTAGGTACTTCCGCTCTGTGCCTTATGTCGTGTTAGGTACTTCCGCTCTGTGCCTTATGTCGTGTTAGGTGCTACCGCTCTGTGCCTTATGTCGTGTTAGGTACTTCCGCTCTGTGTCTTATGTCGTGTAAGGTACTTCCGCTCTTTGTCTTATGTCGTGTTAGGTGCTTCCGCTCTGTGTCTTATGTCGTGCTAGGTACTTCCGCTCTGTGTCTTATGTCGTGTTAGGTACTTTCGCTCTGTGTCTTGTGTCGTGTTAGGTACTTCCGCTCTGTGTCTTATGTCGTGTTAGGTACTTCCGCTCTGTGTCTTATGTCGTGTTAGGTACTTCCCCTCTGTGTCCAATGCAGATTTACTCTTACGGAGGTAACACTCAAATAACGAAAATAGCTCGTCACTGTCTATATTTTATTTGTATACTGGAGTACAAGAGCAACGCAGCGTATAGATCTAGTTGTTTATAGTGAAACCTTCTTCTGATAATGAGACTTAGGTAAAGGCAAAGGTGTGACTTCTCATCACCATGTCATCGTATTAGCAAGAGAGGGGCTAATTTCAATTTAAAGCCAATGAGTTACCACTTCATACACCCACCATGAACCAGCCTCACAGACTATTACGCGAGAAAGATTCAAGAAACATTGTCTGTGTCGTTAAAGAAACATCTAGAACTAAACGTTGTCGGCTGTCAGCACCCCCGGATTTTACTACATAATTATGATGATGGGGGCGCCACTTTTTCTGTATGGTAACGCTCCTTTAAGTCTTGAGGTGATGGCTGCCATTCAGAGGTGGGGCTACACACAGTTTTAAGTCTCTGAGGAGGGGAAAAAAAGATTATGAGGAAATTTACTTGACAATCTAACTCGTATACACCAAATTTATTCATTTATTCATTTATTCATTTATTCATTTATTCATTTATTCATTTATTCATTTATTCATTTATTCATTTATTCATTTATTCATTTATTCATTTATTCATTTATTTATTCATTTATTCATTCATCCATTCATTCATTCATTTTTTTATTTATTCATTTATTGATTTATTCATTCATTTATTCATTCATTTATTCATTCATTTATTCATTTATTCATTTATTCATTTATTCATTTATTCATTTATTCATTTATTCATTTATTCATTTATTCATTTATTCATTCATTCATTTATTCATTTATTCATTTATTCATTTATTCATTTATTCATTCCTTTATTTCATTTATTTATTCATTAATTTATTAATTTATTCATTCATTTATTCATTCATTTATTCATTTATTCATTCATTTATTCATTCATTCATTCATTCATTCATTCATTCATTCATTCATTCATTCATTCATTCATTTATTCATTTATTCATTTATTCATTTATTCATTTATTCATTTATTCATTTATTCATTTATTCATTTATTTGTTTATTTCATTCATTTATTCATTTATTAATTTATTCTTTTATACATTTATTTATTTATTCATTTATTCATTTATTCATTTATTCATTTATTCATTTATTCATTTATTCATTTATTCATTTATTCATTTATTCATTTATTCATTTATTCATTTATTCATTTATTCATTTATTCATTTATTCATTTATTCATTTATTCATTTATTTTTTATTATTTATTTTACTCATTTATTTAATTATTTATATATTTTATTCATTTATTCATTTACCAATTCAATTATTTCTTTGTTCATTTACTTACCCACTCATTCATGCACACATCCAAACTCCATAACGGTAGGCTGAGGCTACTCTTACCATATAGATGTTCATTTTAAGAAACGATTTAGATAACTTTGCATTCAAAGCGAATAAATTCTAGGGTAGAAAAAACTCAAAATTGTCTCGTATTTGATTTTTGTATTTATTCTTTGGCATTTCCCTAGCATGGACGCATTTTATATAAAAAGCTTAAACGCAAATGTTTCATAGCACAAAATATAAGATTATATATAAGATAAGTGATATTATACAAAGACTGCTGTAGCAAAATAGAGTAACATTCAAATTTAAACTTAAACTTAGCTAACTTGTTTTAAAAATGGTTAATATTTATGTAAATACCGTATGTACAATCTAAAAACAGAAATGTACACTTTGGCAAAAAAAAAAAAGCCATTTACTTGGCTTGCTACTTGCACGTAGAGACATTCTGAAAAAAGGCTTCAATGCAACAGAATGAATGGCCGACATTTCTAATGTACATTTTTCTTTAAAATCTGCCAATCACTCTCATCCATAAGTATTGTAATGATTTGACACCTAGACGCGTAGAAGTGAGGGCTAATCGGGGATTCCCTTAGTGACGTCACGGTACATTAAAAAACACACAACGGAAAAAGATTAACGGACGAAGGAATACCGCTTCAGTAGTGCCTAGGAGAGGACTTGTTTTTGTTTTTAGATCTGACGATGTAGACTGTGCCCTTATTTTTGTAAATAAATTATTATATTATTTGAAAAAGAATGGATTATCTTGTTCTCTTTATTCTGTTGTGAGTATTATTTTATAATCTCATATCACGCAACAACAAACTGGCAACAACAAACAGCACCATTTCAAGTCTCAGCAAACACACAAACTTTAATATAGAAGTAACAACATTCCAACAGTATATAAGGGTAGAAATCTTCATTCAGAATGAATGTAATGGCAAAGACACTTATTTCAGCCGACGGATAGAAAAACAAAACAAATACTCTTCCATGTTTGTATTCTCATTTTTGCAAAAGCATACTCACCGTGTTTATGTCGCCGCTGGACATCATTATTTGAATCACAGCCATTACCGGAACTGGGATGAACCACACTATGGCAATGAACCAGCCAAATGCCACAGCACCGGAAGTGTAGTGATACTCCTTAAAGGTGGGTGATTCATATGTCAGGAGGGACGCAACCAACAGGACCTACAAAATTTATTTTTTTTTTTAAACTGATGCATAAAACCTACAAGTAAGTACAGTCCCGATAATCTGAACTTCGGTAGCCTGAATAAATCTATATGATGGGTCATATGTGGTTGCATTATGTGCAAGTACAGTGTAATGTACAAAATAGAACAATATTGTATATGGTTCTAAACCATATGCATATTGGTTTAAAATGACTGCAATTGTTTAAATTTTTAAAAAAAAAATCTAATATAAGGCATGCGTTCTTATCAAGTGAGTCGTGGACTACCTTCACCAACTATATATATATTCTTGGGGTGACTATCTGCAGAAATGAGAGAGTGATCTTTCCTTTACTTCTTCTTCTCGTCCAAACCCTTGAGCGACGAAGAAAATAATATATAGAGATAGATGCCAGTGTGTTCCAAACTTTTCCTTATTTTTTTAGAGAGATTAATTCACGTGGTGGCCTACTTGTTTATTATTCCAGTAGTTCGCGGAACACCTATTCAGGCCTCTCGGACAACTAGTCATCTGAATTCTCAAACATAATAGTGAGAAGGTAGAAGAAGACGAATTGTGTTTTATTCAATTGTTTGAAATTGTAATGGAAGATAAGATTATTTTAAAAAGATGTCTATTTCTTGTTTGATTTGTTCTCTTCAGCTACGACAACGCTAAGATAACCAGCGCTGTTTACCAAAGACTCCTCATGTGGGGATTCTAGCTACTGTGGTTAACTGTGAGACGAAATAATGTCTAGGTTTTTTTGTTTTTGTTTTTTTTACTGTCAAGACTTTTTATCCACTTTTAAGCCTCAGTGCAATGATCATCCAATGACACTACGATTAGCCACATGACACCGTGATTAGCTACATAACACTGCGATTAGCCACATAACAGTATTATTACCACATAACACTTAGATTTGCCACATAACACTATTATTAGCCACATAACACTTAGATTAGCCACATAACATTGTGATTAGCCCCATAATACTTAGATTAGCCACATAACACTCTGATTAGCCACATGACACTACGATTAGCCACATGACACTACGATTAGCCACATGACACTACGATTAGCCACATGACACTACTATTTAGCCACATGACACTACTATTTAGCCGCATGAAACTATGATTAGCCACGTGACACTACTATTTAGCCACATGACACTACTATTTAGCCACATGACACTACGATTCAGCCACATGACACTACAATTTATCCACATGACACTACGATTACTCACATGACACCACGATTAGCCACATGACACTACGATTAGCCACATGATACTACGATTAGCCACATGACACTACGATTAGCCAAATATGACACTACGATTAGCCACATGATACTACGATTAGCCACATGAAACTACGATTAGCCACATAATTCTACGATTAGCCACATGACACTACGATTAGCCACATGACACTACGA